GTCCCGAGAGGGGTCGGGAGGGGTAAGGAGGGACCCGACTACTCTTGTTAAAGGGGCAATGCTCTCGGGACTGCGGGGCCCACCGCATGGGGACGAGAGAACCCAGTAGTGGAGACAGAACCGCAAGCAGGACGCCGGGGTTGGGGAGGGTCGCCAGCGCCTGAGGAGTGGGGAAAGGTGGCGCCTGACCCTTGACTGGACCCAAGCCCCGGACCCGCGCCCAGGGGGCGGAGCCTCCCGTCGGGCCCCGCCCAGGAGGTGCTCAACCCAGGCCCCGCCCCCAGCGCGCGACGCCCGCCGGCTCCTCCCTCAGCTCTCGCGGTCGCGGCACTGCTTCCCGCTGGGCCCATCCTTCTAGAATTCGCCGAGCAGCTGCCTCAGGTGCTGTGGCCCGGAGCTGGCGGCGGCAATGCCACCGCCCCGGCGCTCTGCCCCCGCCTGCCCCTCAAGCTCGGTTGTCCCAGCAGGTCGCGGTCTTCGCCTCAGACGGAAGCAACCCCCTCAGGCCTGGGTGCCGCCTCAGGCCGGGGCTGTCGTCTCAGGCCCAAGACACCCCGCAACCCAACCTAGTCTCTTCAGCCATGGGTCCACCACTGCATGCGAGATTGCCTCCTCTGGTCCCGTTATGCCCTCAGGCTTGGCTGTCCCCGCTACAAGCTGTGGCCACACCTCCAGTCCATCTGCTAGGGCCCAAGCCACGGCTCAGTCCTGGCCTCACTGTTCAGGGCAGGGCTACCCCATGCCCCAAGACTCAGACTAACTCCTCCGCACCAGCGTGATTCTCCAGGTCTTCATCCACCCTCTCAGGCTCGGTTGCCCGCCAAGACCTTGCCTGCCTGCTAGCCCCATCCTGCCCATTAGATCTCCGTCACCCACTTAGGACCAACTACCTGAGGTCTGGATGCCCCTCAGCTCCCAACTGGACCCTGAGTGCTGCTCACCCTCTTCTGGCCCAGGACATCCCATTTAGACCCCACCTGCCCTATAAGCCCAACTCTAACTATCCCTATCTGCCACTCAGCCCTAAATACTCCTCTCTCCGTTTATTACCTCACCTAACTGTTTTCTCAGCCCGTGCCTAATTGCCCTTGGGTATGCGTGTTCACCTCTGAACAGTTTCCAACTGGCCTTTTCTGTCCTTTATGCTGCCTAAATGCACTCTCCTAACTTAGCTAGTATTCTTGACTGTCTTTTCTGCCCACCCCAACTGGCTCTCAGGTGATCCTTGGCTGCCCCTAATTCTGGATCTGTGCAACTGACGACTCTGTTCACCTTTACCCATTAACATTGCCAACTGCTCCTTCCTTCCCTGTCGTCAATTGACCACTCTGTCAACACTTAAATTTCACTCACCACTTATACCCGATTTATCAATCATCAATTCTGCCTCTTCTGTACCTGCCCCTAACCACCAATTCTATACCAACCACTCTCAAATGCCTCTGCCCCATTCAGTCTTCACCTGTTATCCTTTTTCATTTTATCATCCCATATTGCCAGTTCAGTCACTGACCTGCCAACTGTATATTTCACTTACTCTATACCTTTGGCTTCAGAAAATTGACTTTTCCCGTATCCACCTTTCCCATGCTCAGCATCTTCAATCTGTATGTTCAACTAATATACCCAGTCCAGCACTAGAAATAACTTTTTAAGCTCTCTTCCCTTTTTTGGGACCCATACATCCCCTTCCCAATCTCTAAATCTGCTACTGGTCTCCTCACTGAGCTATTAGATGAGTGAATGATTCCCTTTCTGTTAATCTTCCCAAAGCCAAGGAGGAAACTCAGTCCAGCCATCCAGCCTAGTCCAGTCATGCAGGTACCGGAAGATGGAGACAACTTCATTCCCTTTGCCAAGTGAGTCCTCCCCACCCAATAGGGAGGATGGGAACAAAATGGAGGGAGGATTGCATGCCTGAGTTCTGTCCTGAGAGGAGTAGGAAATAAGGATCAGGAAGCTCAATGCCTAGTCTCAGGGGATTGATAATTCATTAATTTATTCACCATATGATGTTTTAACCCTGCAATGTTCTACGCACTGTATTAGGCACTGGAGATTCAGCAGTAAGACAGGGCCTGCTCTCATACAGCTTACATTCTAGAGGGAGGAGACAGAATGTGTAAACAAATATAATTTCAACTAGGGATACATACTATGAAGAAAATAAAACCGGACTATAATGGAAAATAGAGTGCTTGGGGGGACACACGATTAGATAGGGTGATTGTGGAAGACTTCTGGGGAGGTGAGTTTGAATTGAGAATTGAAAAATGAGAAGGAGCTAGTCATGGTAAGAACCAGGAGCAACAAGGTATAGCATGTGAAAAAGCCTTAAGAAGGAAACCAGCTTGGGAAGTTCTAGGAACAGGAAGCAGGCCAGTGTGACTGATGGTGATCAAGGGAAAAGTGGAGACTATAGTCAGAGAGGAAGGCAGAGGCCAGATCCTATAGAACCGTATAAACCCGTTGCCATCAAGTTGATTCTGACTCATAGCGACTCTACAGGACAGAGTATAACTGCCCCATAGGGTTTCTAAGGAGTGCCTGGTGGATTTGAACTGCTGACCTTTTGGTTAGCAGCTGTAGCTCTTAACCTCTGCACCACCAGGGTTACCATAGAAACTTAGAGTCTATCAAAAAGAGTTTGGATTTTACTCTAAGGACTGTGGAAGTCATTGGAAGGTTTTAAGCAAGAGAGTGACATGATCACACTTTTTTTCAACTTTTTTATTATAGCAAATTTCAGATAAATACAAAAGTAGAGAAAATAGTGTAATGAACCTGATGTACCCTTTTACTCAGCTTTATTAAGTATCATTATATGGATAATCTTTTCATCTATACACCCTACTGCTCAGATTATTTTGAAGTAAATTTCAAATCTTATTTCATGTGATCATCTGTTAAAAGATTATTCTCAATGCTCTGTGCAGAATTAATAGTTGGAGGATGGAAATGGAAGCAGGGAGAGGAGAAGAAAGCTATTGCAATAGTCCAGGCAGGGGGTGATGGCCTCGAGTAGGGTGGTGGGAGTGGAAATGGTGAGAAATGATTAAATTTGGGTATATTTTAGATGTGGAATAGAACTTGCTGGTGGATTGGATGGGGGAAGTGAGGGAAAGTGAGGCATACCAGGTATTTGGCCTTAGAAACTGGGTGCCTTTCAGTGAGATGGAGAATGCTGGGGAGGAAATGTTGAGTGGGCAGTTGAACCTGCAAGTCTGGAGCCTTGGGGAGGAGTCGGGGCTGGAAATAGTGATCTGGGGTTATCAGCACATTGGTGGTATTTAAAGTCATGAAAATGACTGAGGTCACCTAAGGAGAGATGGAGATAGAGAAGATAAAGGGCCCCAGGCCTAAGCCATACGACACTCCACTTCTGGAGATCAGGAGAGCAGTCATCATTCAGTCTGGAGGCTTTGGAAGTGTAGAGCACTGTTCTCAAACATCTCTGCGCACCCCTCCCTCCCTATAAGGATATTAGTTCTTCTGAGATACGGGAGACAAACAGGGGTAAATAGAGGTTCTACTCTGCTGGATCTTTGCATTGACCAAAAGGAACCCTGTCTGTCATACCACCTAAGTAGCCAAGCAACCCCGCTTGCTAAATATGATGTTCTTTGGCTGTGGGGCTTAGAAGCTTGAGATTCAGTGAGATCTGAGTTTCCAGCAATTGTCAGTCTCCACCCTCACCCCAGCTCCAATCTCCTTTCAAATCAGAGGCCTCACTACCTCTCTCAGCTAAAGTGGATGAGGGAGGGAGAGAGCTTGGGCAGCTCTATGGTCCCGTGGGAAGACAGGGTCCCTGAATCCTTGGTGTGAGCAGATGCTGGAAGAGCCAGACCTAAGCCTCCTTTGTCCTCCCCTCAGGTGTTCCAGGGTGGTCAGCCGATCTCCACCCCCGAGCTTGCCTTCCCAGGACCTCAGAATGATGCCCCAGCGTTATGGAGACATCTTCTGGGAGAACCTTAGTCAAAGGCCCAGGTGGGTAGTGAGAAAATGGGAACTAACTGGAGGTGGGGAGATGAGGCTGTACAATTTTAAACTACTATCAAGCCATGTAGCAATAAGCCCTAGTCTAGGAGTAATTGCCTTACTGGCTGATGGATGTTGTAGCGCCTAATGCCTGACAGGTGGTTGGGAGAGGTCATTAGAGAAGCAATATGGGTGAGGGTATCCTTCTTGTAAGGAGCCCTGGTAGCACAGTGGTTAAAGTGGTTGGCTGCTAACTAAAAGGTCGGTGGTTTGAACCCACCAGCTGCTCAGCAGGACAAAGATGTGGCAGTCTGCTTCTGTGAAGATTTACAGCCTTGGAAACCCTATAGGTTCACTATGAGTTGGAATCAACTTGAAGGCATTAGGTTTGGTTTGGGTATGGGTATCCTCCCTTCATGAGCCCTGGTGGTGCAGTGGTTAAGAGCTCAGGCTGACTAACCAAAAGGTTGGCAGTTTGAATTCACCAGCTGCTCCTTGGAAACCCTGTGGGGCAGTTCTACTCTGTCCTACTCGGTCTCTATGAGCTGGAAATGACTCAACGGCAACGGGTTTTCGTTTGTATCCTCCCTGCACTAGCCCACTTTCTGTTTCACAGCTCCATCTGGATGGAGGAACAGTACATTCCACCCATGCTGGTAGGACAAACTCTCTGTTAAAAATACACCCACAACCATCCTATCCCTAGCAATCCCTATTACCCCTTCCTTCTGGTGTCCCCAACCAGTGCACTGAGGAGACCCTCCTTTCTGTGAGTCAGTCATCATGTTTTCTAGATCACAGCCATGTTTTTGTGATCTGGATTTCCAAAAATCCCTGACTCCCTATTGCCGTCTAAGCTCCCCTGTGAGACTGTTCTGCTCTCTAGCTCCTTTTCCCCATTCTCTGGCACAGAGAGCCATTGGATGCTCCCACGCTGGCTTGTTCACTCCTGAGGGGCTCCCACCCCCTGAGATGCTTTGCAGAAGAAAGAGAAGGAAGCCACGTTTGGCAGGAGTGCAGCAGGGACCTGGGGGCACCCCAGCCCGGGTAAAGGCTGTCACTTATCACCTGGAGGATCTAAGGAGGCGCCAGGGAATCATCGATGAGTAAGGAGGAGAGATGTCGGGACTCTGGGAGACAGGCAGGGTCTGAGGGGAGGATGGTTTGAGCCAAAGATGGGGTTGAGAGCTTTGAGGGAACTGGAGATTGTTTGGGGATGGGCCATGGGCTTGGTGTGATTGAAGCAGAATTTCCATAATATGGAAAGAGGAGGGAGCTGAGGGATAGAGGGTGAGCTACATGAGCTGGATCAAGTGGAAACTGGGTAAATGAAAACAGTAAATTACACCATAGAACTGAAAGTTAGTGGGGAATAGGGGTCACCTCTGGGCCCCTAGGCTGAAAATACTTCATTATAAGGGGAGCAGAAAGTTGGAGTGGAGAGTTGGAGGTCAGATAACAACACCCCTGGGTCCCAGCAGGAAGTATTTCCAGCAGAAAGGTAAAGAATGGAGAGGCAGGGAGTCCAGGCACCTCTCCTAAATCTAAAGTCTCCACAGACTGAAGAAGGCCCAGTGGAGCAGCTCTGGGGCAACCTCTGAGCCCCTGGTGTTTGGTGAAGAAGGCCCAGGATTTCTTGACACCACTGAATACCCTGATCTGGAAGAGGAGAGGGCAGCCTGTTTACGGGAAGAGGACCATTTCCTCACTCCTGGCAGGGCCCAGGTATGGTTGGAGAGGAACTTGGTGGTAGTGTAGTGGAGGGTGATACAGATCCCTGGTCTTGCATGGAAAGACAGGAGAAACCTCTAGGATTTGAGAGAAACAAAAATAAAGTAGGTAAGAGCCAGATGGGTTTGGGGATTAGGAAATCTGGAGAGAGATCTATGTTTCCATAATTTCTTTTCAATTTCTCCTGTCTTTACAGCTGCTTTGGTCTCCCTGGAGTCCCCTGGGCCAGGAGTCGTCTTGCCTCTCCAGGGGCCAGAGCTTCCTGGCCTCCTATGGCACTGTCACAGCCAGTAGGAGGCAACTTTACGGTCCCTGGGGGATGGAATTTGAGTCTGAGGAGTGAAAACTTCCATGCCCAAAGGTGATGGTGCTGCCTTCTGGACACCAGACTAGTTCCCCCATTTTTGGCAACCAGGCCTTTTCCAGCTTCTTGTGCTGTCTTTGGAACTAGGCATTAACATCCCCCTTGGCCTCCCATCTTAACCCACCCCCCTCACAGGAGCTCCCCAAGTCCTGTTTTCCTCCAGGACCCGCTCCTGGCATTGTGTTCTTTCTTCTCTCTGTTCTGTTATTAAAGCAAGCAAGCTCAGCCCATATGTGTCTTTCTCTCTGTGAAGTACGGATGCAGGACGAATGGGGAAGGAGGGCTCCTTTCCCCTTCTCGAGGACCCAGCTAAAACGAAATTGGGCTGGGCCCCGAAAATTCAAGAAGAAAAGTGCTGCCCAGTCTAACGTTCCTCGCCCAGCCCTTCTGCTTCCAGCACCTGACGGCCGCCCCCGCCCAGTTCACCCCGACCTGGAGTCCCGTCAATTGGCCGAGCTTCCGCCTCCGGGACCCCGGAATCCTGTCCTCAGCACTGTCGCCCCTTCAGAGGCTTCCGAGCAGCCTGTCCCTCGCCCTGGCTCAGGGCCCTGGAAGCCGAGTCCCTCCGCCCAGCGCCCCACCCAGAGCCCCACGTGTGCTGACCCCTGATTCACTTCCCGACCTCCGTCCCCTTAATAGGGAGGTCCCGCCCCGTGCGCAGTGACGTAGGACGCTGCTGTCAGCCGGCGCTTGGGGGGGGTCGGTGTGGGGTAGAATGGCCGCCGCCGCCGTCACCCGCGGGACCCCGGGAGGTAAGAGCCAGGGCCTCTCGCCTGCCTCTCCGCCCCCGCGCCAGGGGGCGCAGCTCAACCCGGTACGGACGCGGAGCGCCGCGCCGGGGACCACCGTCCCTCCTCCCGGTTCGCCGCCACCTCCCCACTTCCGTCCTCCTCCCCCGCGCCAGGGGGCGCCGCTCCGCGCAGGGTCCCTCGGCGGAGCTGCTCGTGCCGGGGACTGTCCCGGGGACCCCCGGACCCCGACACCCGCACTGTCCCTCGTCCGCTGCGCGCCCGCAGACTTAGCCCGCGACTTCTCCAGTACATCCCTCTGTGCGAGCGGGACTCTCCCACCTCAGAGGTCCTCCGGGGACCACCGCCCGGCCGTGGCGGCCGCCCAGCGGAGCAGGCGTCCGAGTAGGGCGCCGCCCCAGGGCCCGCAGTCCAGGGCCCGGGCCCGCTCCCGCTCCGCACCCTGGCAGTCGGCCTAGCCGGGAGTGCGCACCTGCGCCCTGGGGCGGAGTCCTTACCCCAACCCCACCTTCAGTGCACACAGTCGAGCTGGGACGGGCATCTTCCCCTTCTCCATCCTCGACACCTGGCGGAGCCCGCGCTGAGCCTCCTCCAGCTTCCATCTGTTCCCCCACGAGGGTGGAGGCCTCGGGCGGAGCTAAAGTGGTAGATGGGGTAGGGTAGGCCTGGAGACCAAGGGAGGCTGAGACGTTTGGGGAGAGGGGTGCGGAGGGCCTGGCAGCCTCAGGGTGGAGGATGGGTTGTCCTGAGGTGGGAAGCTGGGTCCTGGGTGTCTAGCCAGGCCCTGAGCAACCTGGAGGAGAGAGAGGAGGTTAGGCTTGCTTATCAGATGTGCCCTTCCCCTTAGGAAAAAAACAAATAAGGAGCTCAGGGTGTGTCTTCCAATGCCCTGCTCTCCCCTCAGCATTCAGGCTCTTTTGCAAAACCATCCTCTGAAGACCAGATGCCCTGAGTCCCAGCCCCTAAGCCAAGCCATAGTGCCTCTGAGGCCCAACCCTCTCCCCTCCCCCGCCCCCTTCTTCCTGATACTCGGTTTTGTGTGTCCCTGCTCTGGTTGGTTCCTGGCATCATGTCTTCGTTCTCCCTCACCTCCATTCCCTGCCTCTTCTCTCACATCACAGTCTAGCCCCTTCCTCTCTCTTCTTCATCTTTTCCAGATATACTGACCCAGTTCTGTACTGCTCCCCACCTCATCTTGGATTAGTGTGGGGGCTTCTGCCATGACCTTGTTCTCTCCCTTCCCAGCACAGACTCCCCCTCCCCCCGGCCCCTCAGGCCAGGGGTGACCTTGCCCTCTGGAGCCCTCACCATGAATTCCAAGGACACCACTGAGGTTGCTGGTGAGTTCGCAAGCCAGGGTCCTAGTCTGAGCATAGCCTTTTTTCCTCCCTACACTGGGGTGACCCCCTAATTCTTGGATCCCCGGCTCTGTCCCCTTGTCATTGCCTCAGTTTCCCCCAGTCCTCTGGATTGCTTTCAGCCCCTTTTCCCTGGGCTGTCACAGGGATGTCAGGAGTGACACACTATGTCCTCCCTTCTAATTTCCTCTAGAGAACAGCCACCACCTGAAGATCTTTCTTCCCAAGAAGCTGCTGGAGTGTCTTCCTCGCTGTCCGCTGCTGCCTCCAGAGCGGCTACGGTGGAATACAAATGAGGTTTCTAGGGAGCCTGGGGATTCCGGCCTAGCAAGGCCTCATGGGCTGGAGGAGAGTGAAAGGGGGTTGACACTCCTAAGTGCACAGTACTGTTTTGTAGGCTTTTTGGGGATTATAGGAGAGGTATAAAGACATGGAAGGAGCCCTGGTGGTGCCGTGGTTAAAGCACTTGCCTGCTAACCAAAAGGTCAGTCATTTGAACTCGCCAGCCACTCTGTGGGAGAAATATATGGCAGTCTGCTTCCGTAAAGGTTTACAGCCTTGGAAACCCTATGGGGCAGTTCTTCGCTGTCTTATAGGGTTGCTATGAGTCAGAATTGACTTGATGGCAGTGGGTTTGGTTTTCTCGGTATAAAGACACGGACCCCATGGGAGCTCGCTTCTTGGCATATACACCTGGGTAAGAATAATAGCTCCAATCTGTAAAGGAATTCTTACATCCCGGTCACTGTGCTAAGTACTTGACCTGCATCATGTCATTTAGTTCTATAGTGATGTTGTTATCCCTGTGATCTAGATGAGGAAACCAATTGACCTCCTATGGTTTATTTGACTCACTCCAGAGTTCATGCTTTTAACCACCACTGACATTGCCTCCTCAGGATGGCAGGGTCCTTGTGTTAGACACCTTCTGTGCTCCCCCGTACATTGCATTGCATGTAGTTAGTGGTTGATAATTACTGACTTGATGATAGGAGAGAGCTATCAATAAAAGGGTATGTGTGTGTGTGTTGTTACTGTAAGTAGTATAGAGCCTCCAGGAATGGCCACAGTGGCCAGTGGGGCTTCGTAGAGCATCTGAAAAGAGACTTGGTCTGTCAGGTGGCTAGGGTTTCCAGACACGGAGCTTTGTGCACACAGCACCTCAGGCTGATAGAGCACTACCACTCAGCAGGTGAGCGTTCAGGGAAGAATCCTCAGACCAGGCAGGAGTGGTAGGTGCATTGTAGGTAAACAGTGGGAATGCTGGTTTGATCCCTGGTCAGGGGGAATCTCAGAGTCAGGTAGAGGAATCTGGAAATATTGGCAATGTCAAACCATTGACATTTTTTGAGTCAGGAAGTGGCACAAAAATGGCATTTGGGGAGAGTAAAATAATATGCAGTATGAGGTTGGATGATGAAGAACTTGAACCCAGCCTCAAGCTAAAGACCCCAGTTGGAAGAGAGAGAAGGAAGGAAGGTTAGATTTTTGTTTGCAGTGATGCCTGGGATTCTTAGGAGTGCAGTGGTCCTTGCTGGGTCCAGTTACCTGGAAGCATCCTCCACTAGCTGCCAGAACTCAGCAGAGAGTAAGACTCTGAGGGGATGACTCAGGGCAGGCTGAGACTCTTTATAAAGGGGACACCCACCTGAGTGTCTCCTCTCCTACAGGAGATTGCATCCTACTTGATCACTTTTGAGAAGCATGATGAGTGGCTATCCTGTGCCCCAAAGACAAGGTGAGAAAGTTAAGAAAGGTGGGGAGTGGCAGGGGTCCCAAGTCCTGTTCACAGAACTCGAGGCCACCTCTCCCCTCCCCAGGCCTCAGAATGGCTCCATCATCCTCTACAACCGCAAGAAGGTGAAATACCGGAAGGATGGTTACCTCTGGAAGAAACGGAAGGATGGGAAGACCACCCGAGAGGACCACATGAAGCTGAAGGTCCAGGGCATGGAGGTAAGAGAGTCGGCATCCACTGCCTGCTTCCCATTTCCCTCCATGACCCAACTCTTCAGACCTTAGGCCATGCCTCTGCCTCAAGGACACACGTTGAGCACCCCACCCCACCCCCTCCAACCCCCACCAATTCTCTTGCATTTCCCTCAGGGCTAATGAACCTCTCTTCCCCAAGTCATTGTTCCTCCCATGCATCCTTGCACTGCCCTCTGATTTCTAGAGAGTCCTCTTTGTAGGGCCCAGCCCCACTGTTCCCTTCTCTCCATCCCTCATCTGTGACTTGAAAGAGGTGGAGAATAGGTGGGGGGTAGGGAGAGGGTCAAGAGGAGCTGGTGGAAAGATTGGGATTCCTGCAAAGGGACTGAACAGAGGAAGAGTTGGGGAGCAGACTAGCCCTCCCCCCACCCCAGCCTGTCTCCTGGCAGTGTCTCTATGGCTGCTACGTTCACTCTTCCATCGTCCCCACATTCCATCGGCGCTGCTACTGGCTGCTCCAGGTAAGGACAGAGGAGCTCAGGAAGCCAGACTCTCCCTGGCTCTTTGAGGGAAATGGGATCTGAAAGGGTGAAGTGGGAGGGTGGCCAGGTTCTAAGTGGGGAAAGGAGACTGGGAAGAAGAGAGAGGGGCCTGGAGAGATGGAGAGAGCCAGAAATTGGGGGTGAGGTTGGGGGGTGCCCTGGAAGGAAGCGAGGACTAGGAAGCTGAGCCCCTGGGCCTCAGGACCCCACGTTCTCTGTGTGTGTACCCTTGTGTTCTCAGAACCCTGACATCGTCCTTGTGCACTACCTGAATGTCCCAGCCCTGGAGGATTGTGGAAAGGGCTGCAGCCCCATCTTTTGTTCCATCAGCAACGACCGTCGAGAGTGGCTGAAGTGGTCCCGGGAGGAACTGCTGGGACAGCTGAAACCCATGTGTA